CAATTTCATTATCCTACATGTACCTTTTCTTGATGGTTAGGGTTAGGGGGATGATTTAACTTATTTGATTTGATGAAAGTAACTATTGTTAGTAAGCATGTGTTGCTTTGAGTAAGATATGAAGGCGAGAAGGTTGTTAAAAAAATGTTAATGATTGTAATAATGTATTTTAGGTTTAGTAAGTAAGAAATATTTTATGGTTAAATAATAAGGTTTATCCAAGCGTATAACCTCTAAGCCATAAAAAGGGGGCTTTGGAATTGTTCTCATAGTTATAGCTAGAAAGACATCAAAGCTAGAATAGTGTAAAATTGCATGAGATATTTTGCATTAAGTCAAAGATAAGTGAGTTGCAATATAAGTTGAAGGTGATGAAATAAGTAAGGATGTGCACTTAGAACAATCAATATTATGAATAAGGCATAATATCCTATATATCAACGAGCATATAAAAGGTTACTACAAAATGCCTTGTTTAAGAATGACTATATATAAGGGTATGAATTGGGTCATTAGAACCAAATGGTGGCATGTGTGTTATGAAAGGGGAGTTAATTGATTAGTTGGTAAAACAAGTAACGAAGTCGACTGATGGTACGTATTTGTCGTCAAAGGAGACAGTTGTGACTAGACTCTATGATGAACACAATGATGATATAAATGAAAAATGGGTTAAGTTAATTTCTATGGTTGCAGAAGGATAAATTTGAATATGAATATGGTGAAATGCTGAAATAACTCAAGGGTTGGTAGTCGATTAATAACTTGGTCGAAGTCAACAGCAAACACAATTTGTTATCGTTAAGCACATCACCCAAATGTGAAATGATAAAGGAATCTAGTAAAAACTTAAGGATGGAAATGATAATGTGCAGATTAATGCATTATCGGTGTAAAAAATAGCCCTCCAGTAAGAAATCTCTAGTGTAGTGAAAGAAAGTATGGGCACTGGAATCGGTAAGRGAATACTATGTTAAATCAAAATCCTTCAAAGAATGATTGACATGTTTTAGATGACACAAAAGGATGAAGGAATGAATATTAAAGGTAAAACTGAAAGTAAAGATAGTTGAATTGATAAAAGGTTAGAGAAAAAAATATGGAAATATAATAAGTTACTTGGTGAACATCATCATCTTGGTATYTATAATTGCTAATGTTAGCATGATCTGAAAGTGATAAAATTGGAGTAAGATGAATGATGTTTATGTAGTCAGGAAGACTGAATGTACATCAATTATCATGAAGYATGTAATGTAACCATATAATATCGTAAACTTGATCGGGCTGGAAAGCAAATGAAGTATGCCAGAGATTGGAACGAAGAACGAGAAGTATGCCAAGAGTATTACTGCCAGATTAGACAGATGATTTTTTTTTTTTTTTGTATATAATGACGTTACAATGTTGGAACTATGAGGTATGTCGGTGAAAAAAGGAAATGATATAGTATTTATGTCATGGTAATTGAAAATGTATGATTTGAAATTAGTAGCAGTGGTAGTGGAGTTCGAAATATGGAGGCATTATCTAGAGAATGGATTGTATAGCCTATACTCAATAGCAAAAGACATCTCAAGGGCAAGAGAAAAGCACATGTATGTATAAATGCATGAATATGAAAATGTGTGATGTTAGATGCATAATTGAATTATGAAAGAATTTACGAAGAATATGATGAATGCTTGCATGTTGCCATATTTTGTAGATAAGAAAAGTATGGTGGTATCTATGTGGGGTAATCTTTAGTGACGGTTGGAATAACCATTTAGAGTTCGAATATGTTCACTTATGATTAACAATTATCAAAGGAGTACTCGAGTAGAGCAACCCAAAGAGTTGTGTGATAAATGTCAGCCGRTTTGTCGAACTAACATCGAAAAGAAAAGAGACGGGCGGATGGATCGAAGGTACTCCATCGTTTATTAGAAAATATTGCTCAAGTTAGCGATGGATAGAAGATTATTGGGATGCGAATATGAGTTATTCTTAAGGATGAAYGGATGTTTAGAACTTCAGACAATAAAACAGTTGGTATAGTGAAATTTATGGCATAATATATCTAATGCAAAGAAGTGTTCAGTAGATAAAAAGTAAGTCGTAACTCTTAAGGATGTGAAAAAAAAAAACTAAGAACCAAAGAGATTTCTTTCGTGAATGTTCAATGAAGACGTCATAATGGTTCAGAGGCTACTTGGGAACTTGATAAGGGGACGAGATTGAGMTGCCCTCATTTATTCGTATAGGGCAAATTTCGAGGACGAAATTTTGTTAAGGGGGAAAGTTTGTAATAACCCAAATAATAATAATAATAATAATAA